CCCAACTCTTAGTGGCATGCTCCAGTCTCAGCAGCAGCGTCTCCAACTCCTCATCTGACTGAGCAGCTATTACCAAATCATCAGCATACATAACGTGGTTGAGCAATAGGGAGCCATCCCTTGACCGCACCCGGGCATCGATCAGCCTCCCATTATATCTGTACCATATGGAGATTCCCCCGGTACAGCTATTGAAGGCTTCACGAACTACGTGGTCAAAATAGATGTTAAATAATGTGGGAGCCAGAGGACATCCCTGTCGCACCCCAAGGTGTACAGGGAATGGCTCTGACTCCCGGCCACGTAGTTTTACCCGGGCCCGCTCACCATCATGAAGGTCCTTAATGATCGTGAGCAGAGGGTCAGGTACTCCAAAAGCACGAAGAACGACCCAGAGCCCAGGCCTACTGATGGCATCATAGGCCTTGACCAGGTCAATAAAGCAGAGATGTAGGTCTTGTTGGAATTCCCTACACCTCTGCTGTAGCAGACGGACAGAAAATATGGCATCTGTGCAGGACCGCCCTTTCCTGAAACCGCATTGGGGCTCCGCAAGCCTCTCGTCAGCGTGCCTGGCGAGGCACGCTGAAGACACCCACCCTCTGACACACACACACTGACACACACCCACTGACACACACCCACTGACACACACCCACTGACACACACACACTGACACACACCCACTGACACACGCTCTGACACACACACACTGACACACACCCACTGACACATACCCACTGACACACACCCACTGACACACACCCACTGACACAACAACAACCGCCATTCGCCACTAAGTGGCGGTGACGTCACCACGACGCTTGTGCCAGGCTATGTGCCGGCAAAAACAACCCCCTACCTCCTCGCGGTGCCGGACGGGCAACTCTGTCGTGGACAGTGCTGTGGGGAGAGATCCAAATTTGATTGGCTCCTCCCCTCATGGCATATGTGTCCACCACAGGGGCTAAACGGGGGCTCCGGACGGGTGCGAGGGGCTGGTAACCCCTTCACCTTCAATTAATTACCACGAAACCACGAGTTAAACAGAAATATGTAACTAATAAGCTTGTGCCGGAGGCCCCGGGGGGCCAGACGTCTATGACGTCTCCTGGCCAAACCCCAATTGGCGGAGCAGGAGATTGAATACCTACCCTCGGGGCTACTCCAGAAACAACGAAAAGCCACTATGGGTGGCCACGTGGAATGTTCGAACGCTCACTGCGGAGGAGAGGCTGCCACTCCTCTGTCGGGAGCTGGACCGGTACTGCCTGGATCTATGCGGCATTCAGGAGGTCCGGTGGACCCGCTCTGGCTCCTGCCACCATGAGGGGTGGACAGTCCTCTACTCGGGGCAACAGACTGCCAAACAACAGGGTGTGGGTTTTCTTTGAACAAAAGAATGAAGAGGGCGTGGGAGCGTGGCGGTGAGGTGTGGGAAGCTGTAAGCCCCAGGCTACTTTGGGCTCGCCTTCCCATCAACCGGAGGCGAGGAATGGTGGTCGTGGTTACTTATGCCCTCACCGAAGATGAACATCCGTGGAGGGATGCAGGCAAAGCCGATGAGTCAGATGCCTTCTATGACCTCCTGTCACAGGTGCTGGCTAAAGTGGCCCCTCGGGATAGAGTCATCATGTTGGGTGACTTCAATGCCCGAGTTGGTCATGATACTGGCACCTGGTCTGTAGTGATTGGAGGGCATGGGCCAGATCAGCTCAATAACAACGGTAGGAGGCTGCTAGATTTTTGTGCAGTCCATGGGCTTGTAATTACCAACACGCTGTTCCGGCATCGGAGCATCCACACAACATCATGGATGCATGCCGGGTCCAAGCAAGAACATCTGCCGGACTACATAGTGACGGACCAGCGGATGCGAGCCCATGTCCTTGACACCAGAACCTACCGTGGAGCTGATCTGCCCTCTGACCATCGACTAGTCATCTGTAAGATGCGCCTGCCATTCTTCCACTCCGGTGGTGGGTGTACACCCAGGACCCAATCCGACCTAAAATGGCCTGGTCTCAGTTATCTGATGAAAGTTGTAAGCGAGAATTTCATCCTCGCTTGCGGCTGGGATTGGCATCGTCCCCGACTCCTCCTGATGTCGAGGGTAAATGGGCGAGGTTTAGGACTGTGACTCATGCAGCTGCAATGGCTGCTTTAGGTACGCGGTCCAGACCTCCCCAGAGACCCTAGCTGACAGAGGAGGTGTTCAGGATGGTTGAGAAAAAGCGACAGGCCCACTGTCATCGGCTACAGAATCTCACGTCAGAGAATGAGGAGGCTTACCGCAGCCTTCGCTCAGAGGTTCGGAGAGCCATGAGGCGCTGCAAGGATGGGTGGTGGTCGCGGGTTGCTGAGGAGATGGAGTCTGCCTCAGTGGCCCGTGATCACAAATCTATATTTAACTCCATCAAAAAAGTAACCTGCAGCGCCACACCTATTACCATCATTAGGGGAAAAAACGGTGATCCAATCTCCGACCCCCAGGAACAGGTTTACAGATTTGCTGAGCATTTCTGTGAGGTCCTGGGGGAGGGAAAATCCCTCAGCCAGGAAAACATCGTGGCACAAAGTGAGGATGACCCTGCTGAGGCTGCGGTGCCTCAAATATTGGAAGAAGTCACCCCCTGTGAGTGGCTGGCTGAGGTGCCATCCGTTGAGGAAGTACTGAAGGCGATCCGGAGTCTGAGACCAGGAAAGGCAGCGGGCAGAGATGATCTCCCAAGCGAAATGCTGAGGGAGGGTGGCGTTTGTGCACAGACTGCCCTATATGACATCATAACAACAGTCTGGACCACTGGACGGGTTCCGCAGGATTGGAACGATGCCCTGGTGGTCCCCCTTTTTAAGAAGGGGGACCGCACAGACTGTAACAACTACAGGGGCATCTCACTCCTCAGTGTGCCGGGAAAGGTCCTGGCAAGGATTATTCAGCATCGCCTTGCCAGGCACGCTGAGGAGAGGCTTGCGGAGCTCCAATGCGGTTTCAGGAAAGGGCGGTCCTGCACAGATGCCATATTTTCTGTCCGTCTGCTACAGCAGAGGTGTAGGGAATTCCAACAAGACCTACATCTCTGCTTTATTGACCTGGTCAAGGCCTATGATACCATCAGTAGGCCTGGGCTCTGGGTCGTTCTTCGTGCTTTTGGAGTACCTGACCCTCTGCTCACGATCATTAAGGACCTTCATGATGGTGAGCGGGCCCGGGTAAAACTACGTGGCCGGGAGTCAGAGCCATTCCCTGTACACCTTGGGGTGCGACAGGGATGTCCTCTGGCTCCCACATTATTTAACATCTATTTTGACCACGTAGTTCGTGGAGCCTTCAATAGCTGTACCGGGGGAATCTCCATATGGTACAGATATAATGGGAGGCTGATCGATCCCCGGATGCGGTCAAGGGATGGCTCCCTATTGCTCAACCACGTTATGTATGCTGATGATTTGGTAATAGCTGCTCAGTCAGAGGAGGAGTTGGAGACGCTGCTGCTGAGACTGGAGCGTGCCACTAAGAGGTGGGGCCTTACCATCTGCCCCACCAAAACTAAGCACCTGCCTGGGTATTTTGTACCATCGGACACTCCACCCCCACAACTCCCAATCGGTGATGGGGCAGTTGTGGAGAGAGTGTAGAGTTTCCCATACCTGGGCAGTGTGCTTATGACCGGCTCCAGTTTAACAGCAGAGGTCTCACTCCGAATCAGTCGAGCGGCAATATCTTTCCATCCGTTGCGTAACGCTGTGTGGAAGCTACCTGGTCTGTCGCTCCGCACTAAGCTTCAGGTCTTCTCGGCCACGGTTATTCCCTCCCTTCTCTACGCTTGCGAAACGTGGACCCCCCTAATGGAATATCTTCGCCGGTTAGAAACATTTAGGCTGCCCTGCCTACGATCCATCCTGGGTTTAACGAGACTGGATTGTGTGAGGAGCTCACAAATCCTTGAAAGATCTGGGCAAGGTCCCATCGGTGAGCTCCTCCGGCGGGCAAGGCTGCGATGGCTGGGTCATGTAGCCCGCATGCCCAGCCACCGCATGCCGAAACAGCTTTTGTTCGGCCGGATTGAGGGGGCTAAGCGGGCGCGGCACGGGCTAGAGAAGAGATGGAGTGATGTGGTACAGGAGGACGTGGAGCTGAATGGACTTGCCGATGACTGGTACCAGCGGTGTCAAGATCGGCCTCTGTGGAGGAGGCTCGTGAAGGATACTACTGGGCAGTTGGAGGTAGTCGCCCTCCAACAACAACGGAGAGCGGAGGAGCGACGCTCAGAACAACGAGCGGAGCGCCGGGTGGCTAAAGCACAGCAGGTTGGCACAGTAGGGGGCACAGGTGGTGCATCAGCCAGTCATCTCAGTCAGTCGACCCGTGGCACCTGGGTCTGCCCCGTGACCTCCTGCCAGCGGGCGTTCGACACTTCACGTGACACACACACACACTGACACACACCCACTGACACCCACCCTCTGACACACACACCCACTGACACACACCCACTGACACACACCCACTGACACACACCCTCTGACACACACACCCCCACTGACACATACCCACTGACATACACCCACTGACACACACACTGACACACACACACTGACACACACCCACTGACGCATACCCACTGACACACACCCACTGACACACACCCACTGACACACACTGACACACCCACTGACACAAACTGACGCACACCCACTGACGCACACCCACTGACACACACCCACTGACACACACCCACTGACACACACTGGCACACACACTGACACACACCCACTGACACACACACACTGACACACACACACACTGACGCACACCCACTGACGCACACCCACTGACGCACACCCACTGACACACACTGGCGCACACCCACTGACACACACCCACTGACACACACCCACTGACACACACTGGCACATGCACACGGAGGCGCCCACACGCTTTGCACAATGCATTGCGAGATTTGTCAACGGTAAAAAACAAGTGTTCGCAATCATAATTACGCACCGAAACCTTTAATTCAATAAACTTTTAGTTTTCATAGAAAATTAATAAATACAAAAATATAAATGTGCTCTTTGCAGTATTTTTTTAAATTTACATCTATGTATATATTATTTACAGTCTTGCGGACGGTACAGAAGAAGCGCGCGCACTGTCGCAAATTGTCAGCCGCAATTGCAGAGTTCCACCACCACGCGCCGTCTCAAGCAGAGTCACGGGGCCTGCGGTCTCCTCCGTCTGTAGTCTCCTCCGTCTGTGGTCTCCTCCGTCTGTGGTCTCCTCCGTCTGTGGTCTCCTCCGTCTGTGGTCTCCTCCGTCTGTGGTCTCCTCCGTCTGTGGTCTCCTCCGTCTGTGGTCTCCTAAGTCTGTATTCTCTGTCTCGTCCTCCGTCTGTGGTCTCCTCCGTCTGTGGTCTCCTCCGTCTGTGGTCTTCTCCGTCTGTGGTCTCCTAAGTCTGTATTCTCTGTCTCGTCCTCCGGCTGTGGTCTCCTCCGTCTGTGGTCTCCTCCGTCTGTGGTCTCTGTCTCGTCCTCCGTCTGTGGTCTCCTCCGTCTGTGGTCTCCTCCGTCTGTGGTCTCTGTCTCGTCCTCCGTCTGTGGTCTCCTCCGTTTGTGGTCTCCTCCGTCTGTGGTCTCCTCCGTCTGTGGTCTCTGTCTCGTCCTCCGTCTGTGGTCTCCTCCGTCTGTGGTCTCTGTCTCGTCCTCCGTCTGCGTGATCTTCGTCTTGAGTGACGCCACGACAGTTGTTGGCTTCTCGTTCACTCGCGGGGTTCGTGCTTGCGAGAGATATTTTCTCCTTTTAAAAAGTCAAATCTGCAAAAGAAATATAAATATATACATTTTTTACAAGTTAGATCGACTGAAATCCGCGTTCTAGTTCCTGTGCTGGCTCCGTCAGCAGTCACGAGAACTCTCAGCAGACGTTTTTTTTTTACTTTTTTTAACACGCAAAGAATCATTTCCAAATGCGATAAATGTCACGTGAGCAGCATCTCACCCACGTCAAATCAACTCAAGCCTCCAGTAAGTCACGTGACTTACGCGTGGCCACCCCCACTGTGAATCCCTCGCCCTCCCCCCGCCCCCTGTGAAAACAGACGCTGCTCCATGCTGCTCCGTGCAGCTCACTTCCGCTCACTCCTTCCGCCCCTTCTGACCTGCCCCAAGTAACGCTCTGACCTGCCCCGAATGGACGTCTGTTGAAAGAAGAGCTTATCAGCTCATCGGATTCCTTCAGTCTAAATATTCTCATTCTGATTCTTTCTCTCTCTCTTCCCTCCCCTCTCATCATCACCACCCTCTCATAATTATTATTATCATCACCCTTTCATCATTATCATCATCATCATCACCCTCTCATCATCATCACCACCCTGTCATCCCATTCCTCCTCCTCCTCCCCTCCCCCCTCCTGCACCGGGGCTCCCCTTCCCGCTGCTGCTCATCTCGAGCCATGCCCTGCTCTTTGTCCGTCTTTGCTTACTTCCATATCCCGGCATCCCTTCTCTATCATCTAGCCCCCAGCCTCCCCCCGTCACACTCGCCCCCTCCCCCCCCCATTGCTGCCCTTTGACCCGTGGTTGTTGTGGCGGTGGTGCGGCACAACGGGTCAAAGGTTTTTAACGAGTCACCAAATATGACAAAAGGGGAGCTCGCACGCACCGGTCAGCATCGCGCTCGTCTGGGGCAGCAGCGACTGCTGCTCGTCCGCGCGGCCTCCTCGCTTGTCCGAGACCTCTCTGTGCGCTCGCTTCGTTTTCACGAAATAATCTGCAGGCGGGAAGAGCGCAGGACGCGTTAGTCAAATGTGTGTGCTTAGACAAGCGAATGACTGTGTGTGTGTGTATATATATACACAAAGACAAAGATCCCCCGTATAGCCTTAACAGACTGCAGCAAGTGCTGTTAGCGAGCACCTATGAAGGCCGCCACGGCACACGAGGTGGTGGGTGGCCAGCACCACGCCCGGCCGCCTTTGTATCCCCAGTGGCGATGTCCACACACTGCATCAGGTACTCATTTGAGGCTGAATCGACCTAAGGGAGGCCCAGGACCGGTTCAGATAACCGTCACTGGGTGTTGGCCGTGAGCGGGAATCGAGCTCGGCTCGCCCGGTTCGTAGCGCAGTGCGCTAACCAATACACCTCCACTCCCCACGTATATACACACACACAGCATATACGCACACGTGTACACAACTTGTTGGATACAGTGGACATAAGTATGCAGAGGCGAACAGGGTCCCTCTAATACATTTTCCAAAGTCTAGAATGACACCGGATGTTACTAAATTGGGATTAAACGTAGCTAACCGTCGTCCCCACCGCCCTGCACCGTGCGGACAGATGAAATTGAGACTCAACACCTGGTCTCGGGTGTTCACAACTGGTTGCACAGACTCACTCCCACTCGCTCATCATCTCACTCGCTCGCTCAATGAATCGCTCACCCCACACCCACCATCGCAAACCATTCACTCACCGAAACGTTCACTCGCTCACCGTCTCGCTCACTCGCACTTACAGATGGGACTCGTCCTGGCATCGTGAGTTCTCACCCCGATGAAACGAAATCAGCTTGGAGCGTGTCTTTAACACGACACGCGAGCGGTGTCATTACCACTGCGCTGTGTGCTCACGAGGCAGAAAGAGCTTTTTTTGAGTTTCTGATCGGTTGTTAAGTTAAATTTTTTGTTATCGAGTTGCCCGGTGGCTAGGAGATGTTAACTACCTTGCCTGGTATACAGGAGATCGTGAGTTCTATGCCGACCCCTGACGCCTGCTGCTGTATATTTAGAAGTTGTCATCTCTCTCTCTCTCTTCCCAAGGTCGCATGGATTTTACTCCGGGTCTTCCGGGTTTTCCCCTCCACATTTAGAATCAACTTCACGCGTTTAGAATATCTGGCTGCTATTAATTTCCACACTGTGATAAGCCACCTTGTTGAGCTATTATTTGTGGCCAGGTCGCTTCTGAAAAAAGAAGCCAATAGCTCAGTGGGGCCTTAACTGGTAAAATAAAAAGTAAATTTTTTTAAAAATGGTTTAGTTTATACGTAGGATTTCGCGACCAATATCATCCACGATACAGATTTTTTGGGGGGGTTAAATCGCGTAAATATTATTATCATCATAATACCTGTATTACCGTGTAAATATATATTTACGCGTTCTAACCCCCCCAAAAAAACTGTATTATGGAGTTCATTTTATGTAGAGAGACGAAGACGTATATGAGAATGAAAGACTTTTTTTTAACTTTAGAAGTTTAGTTTCAGCAGTTGCAGGGCTGCATTTCCGCACCATTCGCGGTTCGCCGAAACGACTCAACGAGGCATTTCCGTGACCTTCGTTTCAATCGGTGCCACCGCTGCACCACTCCTGCACCACCCCTGCACCACCGCTGCACCACCCCTGCACCACCCCTGCACCACCCCTGCACCACCCCTGCACCACCGCTGCACCACCCCTGCATCACCCCGTGCCTCACCGGCGATGCGCGTGGCCGGCCGCTTGCGGTGCGCCGAGTTGAACGCGGGCGGCGTGACCTCTGCGATGGGCCTGAAGGAGCTACGAGACGGGGGGGTCTCTCCGGCCGACCCCGACATCTCCGTGTTGCCGCTGTTGGAGTTATTTTCCGCGTCGTCGTCGTCATCGACGTCGACGACGTCCGCGTGCTCGTCGTCGTCGCTGCCGTCACGGACGACGTCACAGTCGCAGCCGTCGCCGCCTCGCGCGACGGCTGCCCGACTCGCGCGAGCGCCGCCGCCGCCGCCGCCGTCCGCGCCGGGCCGGTAAAAGTTTGGCACCCGCACGGCGTCCACCTCCTCCCATCTCCACGCGGCCCCAGCCGCCTTCTCGCCAGCGCCCTCCTCCTCCTCCTCGTCGTCCTCCTCCTCGGCGCGCTCGCACGGTCGCCCTGCTGCGAAGTCGAACCCCCACCGCGCGCGCGCAGCGGCCGCATCGTCACGAAGCTTCTGAGCGAGCTCGTGGCGCACGGAGTGGAGGCACCGGCCGCTCTGCTGCTGCGGGGTCGTCGTCGTCGTCGTCGTCTCGTCGGCGCCACCGAAGAGGAGGCGGCGGCGAACGCTGGCGACGCGAGCCGGGGGGGTCACGCAGGGCAGGGGCACGAAGAGGCGGCGGCGAGCGAGACTCGGGCCCGCGGCGGAGGAGGTGGAAGAGGAGCGCGGGGGGAAGCTCATGACTGCTGCTGCTTCTGCCACTGTCGCTTCTGCTGCTGCTGCTGCTGCCGCTTCTGCTGCGTTCGGAGCGAGTCGAGGCCGCCCCAGGATTTCGCGGTTGCAGCAGCAGCGAGGCCAAAGCGAGCACCACCGAATCAGTTGCGCGGGGTGCGTGAGTCAGAGTGCTCGCGCGCGTGTGCGTGTCGTGTACCTGCGTGTCGGTGCGCGTGTGTTTATAGAATACGTGTACGGCAACCGCCTGCGTCTCTCCCTCGAACGAAGTGCAATATACCCGTTGACCTACGAGTTAAGTAAACTTCGTTGCGCGAAGTTCGCTCTATTACGTACAGCGTGAGTATTCCCGCAGCGCGGTATGCGGTGCGCACGTGGATGTGAGCGCTCTCGTCTGAGCTCCTTCTCTGGCGTGATCGCACAGAGCCCTGTAAACACTCCCACGGGGTAACGTCAGCGGCCCTGCGCGTGTCTCACACACACAGAGAGAGAGAGCGGAGAGGAGAGGTGGCCGACGTCGAATCAGGCCAAGTTGACAGCTGCCTTCAATCCGCCTCCTATATATACCCGCCGGGCTTTCGCTCCCCCATTGGTTGACGCGTGGAGACTATTTGAGTCACTTGGCATATTTTAAACTAGACTGGGGGGGAGGGGGGGGGAGGGGGGGGAGGGGGGGGAGGGGGGGAGTTTCGAGGCTTGTCGGATGAACCACATGAATAACGCATGAACCAAATATCCAACTCGCTCGTGTCGCCGCCCAGGAACTCTTCCACGAGAGATCGACTATCTCTCTCTCTCTCTGAGTCTGTGGACATGTTTCTTGTTGTTTTAAAATGCGCCTACAAAACCCCACGTATACGTTTCACGCTCACGAAACTTTTAGAGTTCACCGAGTAAATCACTACTAAAAATGTGTTCATCGTATTATGCTGATGCCGGCTGCGTCCTGATGTTTAACGTTGAGATCCTTGACGAAAAGCGTGACACAAATATCATTATTGTCACCGCAACACCGCCGCCTCTGTGTGCGCTTCGTCTCCCGTCTCATCCACGCGCACCGCCACACGGTGGCCACGGTTGGCGACGTACGGCACGAAAGAAGTGCGCCGTCAGTTTAACACGCAGGAGGCTTTCGCGACCAATGTCATCCATGATAGAAGTTCATATTCTTTGGTTCTTTCGGTAAAAGTCACGTAGAATGAGAATAAAGTAATAAAATAAAAAAGTAAAATTCTCACGACGTTTCGGCCACAACGCAAGTGGCCTTCTTCAGGTGAAAGGAACAAACCTCTCATTCTACGTGACTTTACCGAAAGAACCAAAGAAGATAAATCATTGCAGTCACGAAAGCTTTAAATCGCTAAATGATAGAAGTTGTTTGGGGTTAGATCGCGTCAAAGTATAAATGTCTCGTTAAACTCGCCGCCACCCGACACGGCCAACTAGTAAGGCTGTGTCACGTAAACAGAACGTGGCCAATTCGTCACTAGTACAGTAACACCGCTTGTGTGTTGGAGAGCCAAGCCACAACATTTACAATCTGAGTACGACGTTTCGCCAGCAATTACAACCAGCTTCATCAGGCGACAGCCGTGCAGCACGGTGCAATGACAACGGGAGGCAGCTTGCCTACGGCAGACGTATGCCGAGTGAGCTGCGTTGCGTGTTCAGGCCCACACGCGCAATGCACAAAGCAACACGGTTAGAATGTGACCTGCGCGTATTGATGGTGGATCAGTTACATCTCGATAATCGTCATATCGTGACCATTGATATTTATAAAATATCGTCATATCGTGAAAATGATATCGTGGCAAAGCAAGCCTGCTGCTTACATAATACGGCAACACCTCGCTTTACGTCGGGGATGCGTTCCTGAAACGGAGCGACGACGAATATCGAAATGACGTAAAATCGAAGCGATGTTACAGGTGATGATGATGGTGGTAGTGGTGGTGGGTGGAAGCGAAGGCTGAGAGGCGACGGATAACGAGACAGGACGGAGGACGACGGCGATGATGATGATGCTGTCGGCGACGTGAGTGTCGGGGGGAGTGGAGGCGACGCATATCGGGTCGTCGCGGTGTTCGTAGTGATAAATTGACGACGTAGTTGCGAAGCGACGCTACTGTTACACAAAGACGCAGAGAAGACCGATCGTAGCGACGTGGTGGGAGGGGGTGTCGGGGGGGTGGGTAGAGTGGGTGGGTAGGGTGGGGGGAGAGCGCGATAGGGTGGGGGGGGGGAAATGGGGGGCAGGTATGGAGGGGGGGAGGCGGGCGATGGGGGGGGGGGGGGGAGGCAAATCTCTTCTTTGTGTGTGAACGACGGCCGGCTGTTCCCTTCCTTTGTCACTCCTCTTACCCCCTTCTCCCTTTTCAGCGCCTTTCTCTCTCGCGCGCGCGCGCCGTGAAATCCTCCACTGTCGCACTTTGTCATGGAGATGAGAGCCGCAATTTGGCTGCGCGCGCCGGAGGATCGAGCGCGCGCGAACTCTCCCCCCCACCCCCCCCCCCCCCGTGCCGCGCGCGTGCCCGCGGCACGGGCGGCGTGTCAGAGGCCCGCGGCGGCGCGTGCGCGCGGTTCTCCGCGAGACAAAGGCGCAGCCCTGCAACTGCAAACGGCGCGGAGGTGACAAGCCGTTGCGGATTGCAAAGACGCAGCTCTGCAAATTGCTAAAACGCGTGGGGGGGGGGGGGGGGGGGGGTTTGTTGTTTGTCCTGTCGCCAGATAAGGCCCCGCTGAGCCGTGTAGCTATTTTGGTTGTTTTAAAAGCGACCCTGGCTCTCGCAAATGACAGCGCAACGAACGTGGATAATCATCACCTGGACATTGATAGCACAGGAAATTAATCGAAACGATACGTCGTCAATTCACCCGCGCCTCTGTCTCCATCCAGCAGTGTGAACGGCTGTCCATCACCACCACCACCACCACCATTGACTCCGGGAGCTGAAAGCCACTGTCGAGGGCTGCTGCTGTTGCTGCTGCTGCTGCTCACGGCGAGAGGGCTACGGCAGTGTCGCTGTCCTCCTCCGTTGAAGCAGCACATTGGGTTTACTTTGTAGTCCATAGGTCGGGTTGTTGTTGCATGGCCACAAAATCACACTACCGTGGCTTGTGTCTGTAATGCGTCTCGATGTGTCTATTTGTATCACTATGGGCCTCTATGTATATGTATGTCTCTATGGGTCTCCGTGTATCTCTGTGTGCCTCTATGGGGTTTACTGTGCGGTCCGTAGTGTGGGTTGCATGGCCACAAAATCACACTACCGTGGCTTGTGTCTGTAATGCGTCTCGATGTGTCTATTTGTATCACTATGGGCCTCTATGTATATGTATGTCTCTATGGGTCTCCGTGTATCTCTGTGTGCCTCTATGGGGTTTACTGTGCGGTCCGTAGTGTGGGTTGCATGGCCACAAAATCACACTGCCGTGGCTTGTGTCTGTAATGCGTCTCGATGTGTCTATTTGTATCTCTATGGGTCTCCATGCATCTCTATGGGTCCCTATGTGCCTACAGATCTCTATGAGTCTCTATGTTTCTCTAAGTGTATGTATGCATCTATGGGTCTCCATGTATCTCTATGGGTCTCTACGTGTCTGCAGATCTCTATGAGTCTCTATGTTTCTCTAAGTGTCTGTATGCATCTCTATGGGTCTCCATGTATCTACACGTCTCTATGAGTCTCTATGTATCTCTAAGTGTCTCTATGGGTTCTCTATGAGTCTCTACGTGTCTCTGCGCGTTAATACGATACGGCCCATAGTTTGTATTGCACGGGCACAGTCGCACTGCCACGGCGTGTGTGTGTGTGCGTGATTGCCCTACTGAGCCATGTTTAACAATTGCAAAGCATCGCTATCCGGCGCAAGTCACGCATTCGCGTCTGAGGTCTGTTTGCGCGCCGAAACGCCGGCACAATGGGCTGACGTTTCGCGCGTTTCAAGAATCACGTTTTGATTAAGGTGGTGGTGGTCGTGGTGGAGACGGCGGCCCCTATTGAAGAGCGAGCCAACAATGAGGACGAGGGCCATCTGGATAGCGACGGAATAATGCACGCACGTGCACACGCACACACACAGAGACAAAGACTCCCCCCTCCCCCCCTGCCCTATAGCTTTAACAGACTGTTGGGGCAAGTGCTGCGTGCGAGCGAGAAGCACCTGTGAAGGCACGCACGGTGGCACACGAGCGGGTGGGCGGCCAACACCACGCCCGGCCGCCTTTGTCTTCCTTTTGGCGATGTTTACTACAACACCGCACCAGGTACTCATTTGAGGCTGAATCAACCTAGGGGAGGCCCGGTACAGGTTCAAATAATCGTCACTGGTGTTGGCCGTGAGCGGAAATCGAACTCTGGTCGCCGCAGCGCGCTAACAGCTACACACAAACAAATATCCCCCGTTTTCAGTTTTTCAGTTTTTTCAGTTTATTTATTTTGGTATAGCCCTGTGAGCCATTCGGCTCTTGAATCGGGTGCAACCACAACAAACAAACAAAAACAAAAACACGAACAAGAAAAACATCGTGTAGCCTGCAACAGACTGTTGGGGCAAGTGCTGTTAGCGAGCAGCACCTATGAAGGCCGGCACGGGCACACGAGGGGGTGGGTGGCCAGCACCACGCAGCGCAGCGCGCTAACCACTACTCTACCGCTCCCCCAGACACCGATACTGTATAATGTACTGTGTATATACACACAAAGATGCGGGGGAGCCTTCATCCAGCAGTGGATTGACCATGCCGATGCTGTTGCTGATGATGATGATAATTGTACTGAACATCTAACCCCCCCCCCCCAAAAAACACCTCGATCGTGGATGATATTGGTCGCGAAAGCCCACGCGTTAAACTCATGAGTAGAATGTGTTCCAAATGTGGAATTAATTATTAACCGTCTACTTAAGACTATAGCAGGATGCTCAGAGGGAGGGTGATGACGTGCCTTCGATGTGTGTTACGTCACCGCAGCGTCTCATATTCACGGACAGTCTCTTGGCCAACGTGTAATTTTGTTTAAAAAAAATAATGTTAAGGTTCATTTTCTCCATTGTTATTATTACGCCTTCAAGTTCACGAAGCGGCTATTATGCAGGAGGGGAAATAACCCCCCCCCCCCACGTGTACACGACTGTGACCAGATAGGTAGGTGTGTGCCTGATATCTGTGTTGCTCTTCGTTGTCCACTGCTATGCGGTGAATGCGGAATGTCCGCTTTTGGTATTCCGCACAGAGCGGGCCGATGGGTGATGTCCCAGCTGCCTCAACAGCTGCGATTAAAGTTCCAATACTAAACCACGCCCTCCCCTGACACCCCCCCCCCCCCCCCAGAAAGTTACCCAACTTCCACTCCCACCCCCAGAACCCCTACCCCCCTACACACCGAAAGGCTACTGGGATGAATAGACCAAGCAGCGAGCCTATAATTAGCATTTATAGGGTGGCAGCTGCACATCCCATGCACCCCTCCATCACCGCGCCTACCCCCTTAACCCTGCATCCTACAATACCATAGACTCCGACACACACACACGTACCACTCCTACACACACACACACGTACCACTCCTACATACACACACGTACCACTCCTACATACACACACGTACCACTCCTACATACACACACGT